CCCCTCTATCCAGCAAAGGACGGACCCTGACTACAGCTCCAGGGCTACGGTTCACGCTTTGCTGGGCTACTTCCACTCCAGTCAGTGCCACAATAACCCCCGGTCCCCCCCAGCTGTTTCACAGCTCTCCTAAGCTTGCCAGGACTTCATGCTTTTGGGGGAAATGGATTCCTTATGATGGCACCCAGTCCCATCCATGCTGCTTACTGGGCTGATGAAGACCTCCTAGAGAAGCAGCAGCCTGGAAAGGGCTCGTTTGCTCTGAAAAAAATGGCTGTAGCTTTGGGGGAGCTTTGCTGTGGGCAGCACTTCATCTGGCTGTACGAGGCACAGGGTTATTTATCTGCAGGAATTAAACGGACATTCCACTGACCCTCTGCGGCAGCCCATGCAAGGGGGGCTGCTTGCCCCCCTCCCAGCAACCCCTCGGCTGCCCATCCACAGGAAGCCTTCGCCCCAAGGAGCAAACCCAGCAGCACCCAGCAGTGCTGTAAATTGTCCCCACGGCATCTCCTTCACCAAAAGGCCACTCTTTGCAAGGAAAATAAAAGTACTTTGTGTCCCTGGGGTAAAATGCGGCCCTGCCGCGCTGTCGGTGCAGGCGCGGCTGCTCCCTGGGACACACACTGGGGAAAGCGTGATCAGCAACAAGGTCTCTTCTGCCAGCCCCTGGGTGAAACGTGTGAATCCACAGGGATTCAAGGTGTCCTGGTTCCCTCCCTGCCTCTGCAACAGCTGGATTTGCAGAGGACACTTGGGCAGTGTCCCCTCTGCTCCAGCTTGCCCTGGGACTCGTGTGAGCAAGCTGCCAGGGCTCTCTGCAGCTGGCACGGGAGAACGGATCAGTCCCAAAGAGCGAGCTGATCCAATTCAAATAGTCCCTCATGTAACAGCCACGATGTCAGAGCCGTTTACCACAAAGCAATTAGCACTGCAGCTCCGTGCTGCGGAGGACAGCCTCCTCCTGCCCGGCTGGTGTAGCCTTCTGGCTGTGCCGGCTCTCTGGCAGCAGATGGGTGACTTCAAGGGGAAAATAAGTTGCAGGGAAAAATGAAGGGCTTAGAGTCAGGAGAGCTGAGCAGTGAGGACACTCAGCGCTGCAGAGCAGGGCTGGGGAGCAGAGTGAGGTGGTTTCAGAGGGCTCTGCCCATGCAAAATCCAGTCCCCCAGGTCGGGGTTGGCAGGCAGCGAGCGGGTGCTGCCACAGAACCTCGCAGGACCCCCTGGAGCCATAATCCGAATCCTCTGCACAGCCCAGAGCCGTGCCCAAACTAAATCCTCAACACCGGCATCACAGCAGGACCCTCTCGGCCGGCCCTCGGTGCCTGGGACACGCTCACTTACGGGCATGGGGATCTTGGAGAGCTCTTTGCCAATGCAGTTTTTCATGATGCTCCAGAGGTTAAGGCTGTAGTTGGGTTTGTCGGGGATGCGAGTCCGTCTCCTTTTCTTCGGCAGGAGATCTTTGCAAGTGGACTCATTGTAGCTGCTTTGATTTGAGCTTTCAAAGACCTGTGAAAGCAACAGAAGAAACACAGGTCTAAGCCAGACCGGCCCAGCGTGACCCAGCCAGACCCGGCAGCTCCCGGGAGCAGCAACCACAGCTCAGCTGACACTGTGCACACTTGTGCTGGGGAGCATCACCAGAAGGCTGTTCTCCAGGGTGCCACTGCCCCCCAACACTTCGGAGGGTGTTTGGGGTGCTGCCCTAAGAGTGCTGACATCTGGCCCCGGCCCACAGCTCAGACAGCAACCAGCTCCGCTCCATCTTGGAGGCACGGGAGGGACCCAGTTGGAGAATTTCTCCAACCACCCCCTCCTCTCCTGCTCCCTTCCCCTGCTTTCACCCCTCCAGGACCGTGCCTCCCGCTCTGCCCGGTCAACTCACGCTGTCCTCCAGGTTCCAGTCCTCGGGGTGGCCCTCGCTGGCCCCACTCAGGTTACTGCCCGAACGCCTGCGGGGAAGAAAGCACCGGCTGGTAAACACCAGACAGGGCAGAGAAGGGGGGAGAAGAGCCGGGGCTGGTGCAGCACAGCCAACATCACCCGGAGCATCTCCCTGCACCATCCCGGGGTGCTGCCAGGAACGCAACAGGGTGACGGAGGCCGTGCGCGGGCGGCGGGAAGGGGTGCTCAGCACGGTGTGTCCTGGCCTGGGGGCAGAGAGCCTCTGCTTTTGCCAGCGAGCCCAGCGATGGGACCGTGGCACAGACCACAGGTGCCTCCAGCCCAGATGGATGCCCACGGAGGTGTAAGAGCCGGTGAAGGCAGACAAAGGCAAGGTACTCCCTGCTTCTGCCCAGTGCTCCAAGGGATCTCCCTCCAAGTCTCTGCCCAGGCTCCCCTTGAGCTCACATCAGGTGCTGAGGCAGAGGACTCAGCTTTCCCACAGCACAGGTTTTGACACCTGCCCTTCCTCACCTGCTTTGCTATAGCTGGGGCCATCCTCAGCCTCACTCGCTCCAGGAATGCAAGAGCAGACAGGCGCAGTACGGAGCCCTGGGCAGAGGCAGCCCGTTTGCACACAGAATGACCCCGCGGGAGAGGATGCTGCCCTCAAGCCCAAGGACAACGCCGTGCAAACCATCTCTCCCCTGCTCTTCCTGCACTCACAGCAGGTTTCACCAGGTTGCACCATGCAACGTGTGGTCCTGGGGCAGAGGCTCGTACCTGTGGTGCTTGGGGTCTGCAGTTACAGTGATAAAAGCTGGTGCATCCTCCATGGCATCAAAATACTCTGTCTCTTCATCTTCATCACTGGCCTCTCCTTTTGCAGACTGCACACTCCCTGTTGGTGCAAAGGGTTTGAGATGCTCAGGTGCTGCTGGTTCCCCTTTAGAACCTATCGAGCCCAAGCCTGTCCCCAGAGCCGACCCTCCTCCTGCCACGTCCCCTCCAACGCTGTCTCCTTTTACAGCTTGTCTCTCTCCTCTCCATCCCACTCGACGACGAGAGGATGCCGTACCAATTTCCAGCTCCTAAAAGCAAGGCTGTGCCCTGGCAGCATGTGTCCTGCTCCCCAGTCCAGGCACACAGGGTTTCCCTGCCGTGCTGGGGATCACCGCCAAAAATGCCACCAGGCTGCCTGAGCCAGACACACGCAGGTGACTCGCACGCCCAACCGCAGCTAACGCGGTTGCTGCTCCAGCACCGCCCTCTCTGCCGGGAAATCTGCTTTGGATTAAAGCAGAAAAAAGAAGTCCTGTGTTTCAGGTGATGCTAAGAGAAATTTCCCGGCCCTCGAGTTTTCCAGCCTTGCACTTAGAAACTTTTCTCTTCTCTGCTGCAGCGGGAGAGATTGCTACGAAGCCGGGAGCAGACGTTAACTGCCGTGACTTTTGAAACCCGGTGCAGCTCCCCTGCTCCTGCCCTCGCTGCGCTGTTCCCCAAGTGCAGCCTCACTGCGGGCTTCCCCGCCCTGCCACAAACCCACCGCTCGAGCAGCCGGCTCAGCAGCTTGCTCGGCGTCCTGGCAGGGTTCAGCGATCTCCTTCCCTGCGCCATTCCCACGCTCCTCCAAAGGGGCAGGGTCACCCCTCGCGATGGGGCCAGGACGGGGGGGTGCCTGGCCCTGCAGCCACTTCCCCGCGCCCTCCCCAAATGCAACACAGAATCACAGAACCGTTTAGGGTGGAAAAGACCTTTAAGGTCATCGAGTCCAACCGTTAACCTGGCACTGCCAAGCCCACCACTAAACCACGTCCCTAAGCACCACATCTACACATCTTTTAAATCCCTCCAGGGATGGGGACTCCACCACTTCCCTGGGCAGCCTGTGCCAGCGTCTGACAACCCTTTGGGTGAAGAAATTCTTCCTAATATCCAACCCAAACCTCCCCTGGGGCAACTTGAGGCCATACAAGAATGAGGGCAGCACCTGGCACTGCCATCACCCCCTGCAACAGCCGCTATTCTCTCTCTTGGGTCTACATACCCTTTAAAAATAAGACTAGGCACTATTTGCAGGTTTTGGCTACCAGGCTGTAACTAATGCCTCCCGCAGGGAAGGAGCTTTGGCACAAATAAGCAAAGCTGTTAGATTTTATTGCCCAGTAATTCTTGCGAGCAGCAAACGAGTCCTGGCTGTGCCACCACCACCCCAGGCAGCCGGGAACTCGGCAGCGCCAGGGGACCCCGGGCTTCCTCCGAGTACCGTGGCTGCCCTCCAGCAGCCAGAGATGTGCGCGCCGGTGAGGGTTAAGGGTACCAAAATAGCCTGGAATAGCGTGAGCGAGCTGGGGACACAGCCCTCTCCTGCATCCGTATCGTGGGCACATCCAAGTCCCCAGGCAAGAAGCAGGAGGACAATTAGGAATCATTACAGTGTAATGGGATTCATTAGAAAAAACAATCATGGGCATACAGGGCATTGCCTTCTGCATCCTTCCCATCCCTGCTGACCGAGCAGAAAGCCCCCATCCATCCCAGGGCTTCCTGCAGGGCTCTGCCCCTATAGCAGCCCCGGCCCGCCGGCGCTCACCCTTGGCAGTGCTGGTGATGCCGGTGCTGCCGGAGGACAGGCCAGGGGCCCCGCGGCAGGCTCGCTCCAAGCTGTT